AAGCCAAATCCCTCCCCCCCCTGACTAACTAGCTTTATGATTTGTCAAGTCCGCTTGGTCGGCATCAAGTTCGTATGGGGGAACAAAAACAACTGTAGATTGGGTTGGCCTTGCGACTTATATGGGACAAACTGTAATTAAAACCGCAAAGATCCCGAACGGAGATGAAATGTGTGGCGCTCTGGATGCGATTCCGTCTTGGTGCAGTTTGGCGACTGGGAGGGGGTGCTTTTGCACTTTTGCTACTTCATTTCGTGGCTTCACAAGAGTTCACAGACCTCCAATCGATGGCCCGATATGTCGATGGGAGGTACAAAAGTGCAAATGCCCCTCCATCGCCAAACTGCGTCCCAAATTTCATTCTTTACCTTCCTTCTGCGAAGATACTCGAAAAATTTTCAGGCAAATTGACGGTGTGTGGGCATGAGCTTTCGCTTGAAGAAGTTAGTGTGAGCTATACTTGTGCTCAAAATGGCACGAATGATCACGGCTACGAGACACATTCAAACGGAAAGGTATGTGTTCCCCGATGTTTCCTCTTTCACTTTTACTTTCATTGTTGGCTTTCGATTGTCCTCCCCCCCCCCATCTCTAGTCCCTATTAAACTATTCATATCAAAATGCTGTATTCCAGACTATCGTAATGCTTGATGTGTCGGAAGACTCGTCTTTGGTTGATGAAGGTCTCGCTAGAGAAATTACAAATCGAGTGCAGAAACTGAGAAAAGCGGTAGTTTTTTTTCAAATTCCGGTCAGAATACGTGCAGAATGAAAAAACCAGAATGACACTCCGTTGTTTCTGTAAAGCAAGTAGTTCAAGGCCAAGTTAATATCTACGGACCCTGCCGTGGTTTATTGCGTGGTGGAACCAGAGTCTTGCCAACTGGCTTCAGTTCTTACGTCGCACAAGGACAGAATTGAGGAAGCTACAGGTGGGCCTATTTTGCTGTCGTATCTGAAAAAGAATTATTATTTGAACGACTATTTCTTTTCCGTAAAATCTGCTGAAAATGCTGTTGTCAGGGACGCCGTTGCGATTAGAGCGACTACCAGAAGGTAAACGCGCTACCGTTTCCAACGTCAGTACTGTCAAGGATGCTGAAGTTTCGGTATGTGCATTTACTCTCATTGATCTTACTTGCCGATCTTCACTTTCAGCGGCCTCTTGGAGCAAACCCTTAGACAGCGTTCAGAATTCGTGATGGCGCGCGTCGACGCGCTACACTTACAAAAGCGCTCCAACCCTATGGACGCGAACGTGGCCACAGAAAGCCAGTGTCGATTGATACCAGTTGCTTGACTGAGCAACACCTACCATCCTATTAACATACTCTTTCGAAACACAAGGTGGCTGGCCGGCGCCCATACATTCCCGTCTACGGCTGCGTTCGCAAACGGGAATCGATCGGCGCCGGCCGTCTGCGTTGACGTTCGCGTCTATAGCTTTGGAGGGTTGCTGCAACTGCAGCGCGCTGACGCGCGTCATGGGGAAGTTTGTACGCTGCCTTGGAAGCGACTTTCAGAACCTTTTTCCCTTTCCCTCAGTTTTCTTTTTCGTTTCATCTGTTTCACAGCTTCAGCATTGCCTTTAATAGCGTAAGATCCCTTCCAGATAAGAAGAAATGACTGTGCAGTCACTCAAAATATTTCATTTTCAGCTATGGCTTATTGCCGATGCTCTAACGGATACCGTTTCGGTTGGTCTCAATGGGAAAACCATTCGTATTCGTTTGAAATCGAGTACGGATAAAGTGCTGAGTTATAGCGATCTACTTTATGAGGTTAGAATTCAAAAGCTTCGCTTCCGAAAACGTTGGGGACCTATTACGAACTACTTCAAGATTTAAATAGTTTTTTATGCAGCTCTCTGCATCGTGTTTCTCATCGGCAGCTGCGGCTGCCGAAGTAGAGAATTACTCACAAAATGTTGATGGCTAAGCTGTCAGGCGTTCTGTCGCAGTTGAGTTTTCGCAGAGTGAAGTGACAAAACATGTAATTTTTCAGATCCGCTCAGCATTGGATTTGTGGAAGGGGAAGGTCTGGCTCATTCTCAGTGATGGAAAACGCTTCCATCCAACTACTCCTGTTGAAGAGCTGATTGGCCAGTTCGTGACAATACAAACGTAGATTGGCTTGGCTAGGTGCCTAAGATTGGCTCAAGCGCTCATCCCACTTGAGAACTGGCTTTTCTCTCAGAATTACTTTTCTCAAGCGCTCATTGTTTTCAAGTGTTTGGTCTCCCTTACTGGCGTTCAGTTTGTTTAAGGATTATACCTATCATTGCAGCCTTCCTGGTTTGTTTTTGTTGTGTTTGCATAGATTCCTTGTTAAGTAGTTATGTCGAAAAACGATTTCTTTTTGTTATTTTACACTTCTATGGACGAAAGATGTCTGTTTTAGGAAATCGTTTCTTGTTACTGCATGTGGTCTATCAATTCTAGTTAGTAAATATTTATTATTCAATCGTCTTGATTACACCGCTGCTTTATAACCCCGCTACTGGGGAAGTGTAGTATAGACGGACGGCCACACTGGCTCCAGGGGAGATGAGCGATTCTATCGTGAGCGTCCTTCATGCCGCGTGTGGCGGTCTGCATGGCAATCTAAGAATTGCACTACCGTATCCACACGAATTGTAGTCGCAGCAAGAGACTTGCCCCAGGGCACACCATCATTGTGATGATCACGGGAGGGGGATCGTATTTGACCGCGAGGGACGGGGGTCGTATTTGGTCGTTGTTGGGAGAGGGACTGCCAAAGATCTATACAACTACTATTTACGATAACTGGGAATGATATTTACTCCTGACGACTTCCCCCTCCCCCCCCCGCTCGACAGCAAAATTTTGGGAAAAACCAGAAATTTTTCGGGAAATTTCGGAAGACTGGTAGGAGGTTAGGGAAAATCTGAGAAATTTCCCTGTTTCACATTGGGCATATATACCATTTTCACTTTAAATCGGACACTTTTCAAACCAAATCGGACACTTTTCAAACCAAATCGGACACTTTTCAAACCAAATCGGACACTTTTCAAATCAAATCGGACACTTTTCAAACCAAATCGGACACTTTTCAAATCAAATCGGACACTTTTCAAACCAAATCGGACACTTTTCAAATCAAATCGGACACACCCCTTACAATTAGGTGGTTGATAACTAGACCACACTAGGTACTGTTGCAAGCCTCCGCCCCATTATCCCCGCCCACTTCTCAGCAGACAGGGTTTTCCGAGATGCTTCATGAAATCTGCTCCCTCGACTTTTTTTCGTTTTTGCCCTTTGCACACACACTTCAACTGAAAAAGATTGATACCTATACAGATCTGACTCCGCCCACTTAACAATGAAGTTACGTAAGTTCTGAATTTTATACACTCTACTTCGCTGCGGACGGTTGGGCGTGTCAGCCAGTATGAGTGTGTCACCCTCTTTGAGCTGTTCTCTGCCTTCTTGTTGAAACGGGCATGCGACAAAAAGCAGTAGAAAACAAGTAATACGAAAGGTATGATACAGTATTGTCATTTGCTCGCTTGAACAACTCGTGGAGAACGAGTTTGGCACCGCGCCAAACGCAGCCGCACGAACACGCCCAACCGTCCGCAATGAACTACACTATAACTTTTTTCGCGGTAGTTCTTTTCACATCCAATCTTCACAAAACGAATAACCATGCACAGCACACC